GGCCCGGCCCCGAGGCGCCCCGCGCCCACACCTGTCCCCACGAGCGCCAACCTGCGGCCCGCTGAGTCCTGGCGACGATGTATTTCCGGAGCTTCCTCACCGCCCGATCCCGGGTCACCTGCTCGTTTCCCGCCAGGCGCTGAGCCAGCTGGATCTCAGGGGGAAGCTGCACGCGCGGAACCATGGTGACAACCGCGAAGACCCCCGCTCACGAGCGACGCAGCGGCCTCGCCGGGGCGCGCGCTGTGACGTCACACGAGCGCGCCGGCCTCTCCCGGGCGCGCGGCCTGACGTCAGGCGCGCACGCCGGCCTCGCCCACACCGCACGCCACCGCCGCGTAGACGCCGGACCCCGCAAGGACAGCGCTGGGCAGTTGGAATTGCAGGGAGGTCCGTAGGCGTGGACGCCCGCCTTTTAGGGGTCAGCCGGGTTGTCGAGAGAAGGCTCTTCTTTAGCGAACGACAGCGGGCACGCGCAGAAGGAAGGGTAGGATTGCAGGAAAACCTATGCGGCCCCCAAAGAATCTTCGATTCAGGCGCAGACCATCAAAAATTGGCGAAAGGGCTGGAGAAAAGTGGTCCCAGTCGGGTTTTGCACGAGTCTCAGCGCCCCGCCCATGGGCTGCCCCCGCCAGAGCCGCCCCTTCTCGCGCAGCGGCACCCCTCGTGGCCAGTCCAGGGGGCCCTCAGCCAGCCTTTAGGTCTGCACCTGGGCTTTCAGGACGTAGAGGAAGGCTCTCCATGGTGCACGGGGAGACAATCACCACCTGGAGTCTGGGACAGTTCACAGGACAGCTGTCCTGGTCGCTTCACAAAGTTAATTCCTGGACAAAGGAATGAATGAATGCATATGTAAAGGAGGAAAATATAATGTGCAAACCTTGATTGGATCGTGGTTCAAAGAAAAAGCTATAACAGTTATTTGGGGGCAACTGGGAAGCTTGCATATAGACTAGATGTTAGATTATAGTGCAGAATAATTATTTTCTTAGGTGTGACAATGTAGTGTTTATATTTATGCAGAATGGGCTCCTCAGGCTTTTTTTCTGTAATGGGCCATGTGTCAGGGAACCCCAAGACCAGGTTTGTTGATCTGCTAGAGTCACATGCTGGTGACACCCAAAGCTAGGAGGACGCTATGATTTATTATGACAAAAGATACAAAGCAAAATCAGCACAGGGAAAGGGATGTGGAGTGAGCCTAGGGGACACCAAGAGGAAGCATCCAGAATCTTCTCCAGGTAGAGTCACAGAGGCCATGCTAACTACCCAGCAAGGAGCCGTAACAACACGAGTCAGATACCAACTACCAGGGGGCAAAATGGAGAAACACACACTGGTTTTACACTGGTGGGTACATGTCAAGATACCAACTACCAGGGGGCAAAATGGAGAAACACTGGTTTTACACTGGTGGGTACATGTCGGTTAACCTTTAACATTTACAGTATATAGAGATATGTGGACATTTACAGTGTAGATGGTATGTGAGAATTTTCGGGTCATCCACTGCTGCCTATGGGGTGGTTATGCCTCAAAGGGGTCTGGAAAGAAAATTACTCTGACTTCTCAAAACTATGTTGTCCTAGATGCATAAGAACAATGGACACAGCTCACTTAAGGTAAAGATTGACCTTTTACTAAGGAAGCTATGGGCCTGGGAAATGACAACTCATCATGACTTGCCCAGCTAGGAGTTCATGATCAGATCACCCTGTGGTTACTCAATCACTTATGAGTAAGTTGTGGAGGTCTCTTCTTCCCGTCCTTCCCAGGCTCAACTGCACCTGGCCTTCTGCCCTTCCCTGAAGTTAAAGACCAGCCTCTGCGCTGGCAGGTACTGGAAAGGCTTGCTGCCCCACACACACACCTGCTCACAGGCCACTCCCACTCGGACTCTGATGGGGCCCCCCAGGAGGCGAAGCTGGGCCTGCTACTGCAGTCAGCATCCAGTGAGGGGAGAGGCCCAGCACCCACTGACGTGCAGCCCTGGTGGGGGCATGAAAGGGGTTATAACTGGAGCACCAGCCCCACCCCCACATGAGGCTCTGGGAGTCACCTCATCACTGGGCTCCTTTGTTCCTCTTCTGTCCACCCACGCCAACCATTCACTGTGTCCCCGGGTCACATGCTGGTGACACCCAAAGCAGCTGGCACAAGGGCATGCTGGGTCGGGCCTTGCAAATGAGGCCATGAAATGTACTGTGGAGCGAGGCCAGGCAGGGCCTGATCCTGGACACCAAGATACCCTGACAGCCCCCTGCCCCTGTCCCCCAGCTCCTCCCGGTGCCTGCTGGGCACCGGTTTCTCTGCCCTCTACTCTCGGCAGCTCTCAAGTCCAGCTTCCCGCCTGCCTCCAGATCCTGCGCACCCTGTATGATGCCCTGCACAGAGCCAGAGCCACCACAGGGCTCCTCCAGGATCCAAGACCAGCTCCACCCATGCCCACGCAGGTGACCCCCGATCGCCTCTGCAAGTCCACACTAGCCCTGCCCCAAGCTGTGATCCCCAATTTAACCTGAAGGACCACACCCATCCCAGCACCACAGCAGACCCCTATCTCCTCTTGGAGGACCCAGCCCCACACCCATAGGGCCCAACATGACTCTCCCCTACAAGACCCGCCCATGCAGGGCCTCCTTCCACTGTCCCCTCCAAGGCCTGGCGGGGAGGAAAAAATTTCCCTTCTTCCCTTCTAGCTTCTTTGGCTGACCTAACGATTAAATTGGCATGGGACAGATTAACAGGAGAAAATAAAAATTTAATTTCATACCCACGGAGCCCCATAAAAATAAGAGACCCAGCGGCAGCCAGGTACTTGAGGTCTGTAGCCACCCAGACATGAGGACCAGGAACGGGGTCTGCGGCTCCTTCGGGGAGGAGGGCAAATCACGGGAACATGGGCAGACTGGGCATTTCAGGATCAGACGTCCGCCCTGGCGTGCAGGTGAGTTTTCCAGATAAAGTATGTCTGGTATTTGCTCTCTTTCGGGACCAGCCCCCCTATCTAAATGCTTTTAGGCAATTGAGGGGGAGTCGAAAGTTTTCCAGCAGTTGGTTGGGTCTCTCAAAATAATCTGTACGCCAAAGTGGCACATTTTGGGGTGGCAATATTCTGCTCCCCTTTAGCCAACGCACACCGCCAGGGGCTCGGACTCCTCACTCACTTCACCCCCACCACCCCAGAGCCGAAGAAACGCCCACCCTCCAGGACCCATGCCTGACCCTCCACCTCCCCCGCTCGTGACGCCCCCCCGAGGATGCCACACCAGGTGGGTGGGGACAGACACTAGGCGCACAGCACTCGCCCCACTGAGGGTGCCCCCCGCGGGGGTCCCAGGTTGCGTAGTAAGTTGACATCCGGCCAGCCAGGCCCCGCCTCGCCGCAAGCACGGCCCTCGGACCGCCCCCTGCGTGCGTCCGCCGGCGTCACGTAGCCTGAAGTTGCTAAGGCGGAGGGTTCGCAAGCAGCCGCGCCAGCGACCCGCTTCTCCTCCGTTCCCGCCGCTCCTCCGTGCCCGCCGCTGAGCCATGAGCCGTATCGGGAGGATGTGCGGCGGGACCTCCGCCACCCAGCCCGCCACGGCCAACATCCAGGACATCACCGACCAGGTGAGTGTTTCGGGGTCCTCGAGTCCGGGTTCGGGTCCCGCCCTGTCCGCAAGGGACAGCGACCGCCGGGACGCAGGGATCGAGCCGAAGTGCGCGTGGGGCGCTGGGCTCCGGACGCGGCCCTCGGGCTGTCAGGGCCCGGGGCCTCCGCCCC